AACTTTTGCTTGAATTGTTGTCTAAAGAAATGGTATAATCTTAGAAAAAATTGTTTAAATCGTACAGCTATAGCATATAGCTGTCGTACAAGCTGATGGACAAAACATCAATGGAATCCTTGGCATTTGTATTCGGTGCAACCGTACTTAACGCTTTCTTGTTGTTCGTTAGAAATGATTCAAGATTGTCAATTACTATGCTTAATTTTTCTTCATTACCCTAGCTTCGGTTAAACATTTCATGAATTTTAAAGTTTCAGCATTACATTTATATGTCTTTAGAGTGTATAAAGTGAAGAAATTAAACTTTATTTAAAACAAAAGGTATTTTAGAGACCATTTTTTCTTAAAAATATCGTTTATAATACGGAAAAATTCCCTGACAGAACTTATGTCAGCAAAAGAATCAGCAGCTAAATCATTTCTGTTCYTTCGGAAAACTCATAAAATCATTAATTTTGATAGCATGATTAACATATGAGGWATATGAGTTTTATCGGTACACAATCAAATTTTGGGTGAAAATTTGCCACTGGTGGCACTTAGTGGTGTAATGTAAACTATACAACTTGAACTATGTACTACTGTGATCAAATTGAAAGGTGAATTTTGAGCATTTCTTTTCCTTCAAAGTAATCCCCTCCCAGTTCTAACGAAATGTCCAGTCATTATAACATTTGGAAAAATCGTCCGTCGTGATAGCCATCAGAGCCTTCTTCGTTTCAGCTTTTATATCCTCAATTGAGTGAAAACGGTATCCTCGGAATGGTCTTGGGAATTGCTGAAACTGCTGAATAGACAGAAGTTGCACGAAGGTAAGTCAGGCGAATTTTTTAGGCGAAAATTTTCAATTAAATCACAGTAGCACATATATATCGCCAACTAAAATGCAAAATAACGTAATATTACTTTTCATAAGTTTAGGCGAAGGAAACACGATACAATATGTAGAAACCAAACACATTGAAACCAAATGGGAGTTTTGGTTATAAAACGGTTATATTTTGGTTATAATAGAAACCACTCATGCTGAAACCAAATTTGTGGTTTGGTTATTAAATTGTTATATGTTGGTTATATATTGGTTTTTTTCTAAYAACGGAAGCTGAAAATCTTGTGCTGCATCTATGTAATATGTTTTTGGCGGATTGTTAGCAATAAAAACGCAATTTCGATTTTTTKGACGAAACGTTGTTTTGGTGACAACATGTATATTGAAGGAATGAATAAAGCGTTTACTTGAACAATGAAGTCGAATCGAATTATTTGGTATTAATTTCAATTAAAAAGGYTGTAGTCTTTATGCATATGCAGTTCGTTCAGTATTATTTGCYCTAAATCAACTTCGATGTCAGTGGAACTAGTCGCAGACYAGTGTTGAAAAAAATTTTTGCACTRCAACTTAATTGAAAACCAATAGCAGAGCACCCGTTTCAGCAAGCATGATTTCGTGGAGCACTATGTAAAGGGTCAGGGCGGTGCAGCAGTGGTACCTTACTAAACTCAGTTCGAATTGCAATTTGGAAGWGAGCTAATAGAGTTGGAATTGCAAAACACGTACTTAGTTGTAGCTTTAGCCAAAAAATCAATAACTGAACTATTKTCGTATCAAATACATATATGTACATAAATATATTGCGGTACAAACTCATAGCAGTGAGTKCCAATACAAACATACGAGTATGAGCAGGGACGACTCTACACCTTCGAATATCTATGCAGCAGTACTCGTATATTTACGAGTTAGTGTGAATGTGAGTTTGTTTGCGAAATTGGTAAATAACGTTATGACGCAAAGCATTTGCATTTATGTATGTGTGTGCTTMTTTGCTTTCCAATGAAAGAGGAGAAATTATTGCGGCACTATCATCACGTAATCGAAAACACAAATACTACACGCCAGCACACTCACACACAATAACAATATAACTAAGCACAAATATTCAGCAGTAAGTACGTACTCATGGCATGCACTATTTGTAGCGGATTATTCGAGCAGCGGTTTGTGTACATGTTGCTTGAAATGCAATAGTATTGGTATATGAAACAGTCGCACGCGCCACATTACTGAACGATGAATATCTATAGCGCCAATATGACCACTTCAAAGTTAATTTTCTTTGAAATGCAATGCAGTAGGTTTAGTGCTGAGAGCTATTGAGTTGTGGTGGCCACACCGGTGGACACTAGTCCGTGTGCTGGCACATGGGAAATAATTGTGCCGTGTAAGGYAGTAAAGTTGGCGATCCACGTCCACATGCCGCTCGCCCGCCGCGCCACACGCTTGAGTTGCAATAAAAATCGATCGATTTTCGAATAGTTGTGATACCTCCATATATACGTACCTATATAYGTACGAGTAYATGWAYAAATATGTGTGTTGTATTACGGTGYGCTCACTGCAATCGCTAGCGACGACAAGGACAACGAAAGCGAGTGACTGCTAAAGCRATTGCTTCATACTTAACCTAAGCAGGCATTCATGCAATAAATGTGCACATTTGAAATGCGCACGATTSGTAAATGTTGACCAGCWGTATATAAAAGCGGGCCAGGGCAGKCGAGTGCATTTTAAAGGCAGTAATGAAGCACACACCACAGCAGTATGCGCTACGAGTGCTACATGAATATTCCAACAACGCTCAAAATAAATTCATAACTAAATTTTTATATACATAAAAGCAGGCGAGTTATTGTRCATGTGTGGGTGCTTTTGTCATTTTCCTTTTACCAGAAAACGCTTACWCACACATCTGCTGATAATCAATATACTTACTATATATAACTTCCACACGATATTTGTATTCACCATATTTTTCTTTCACTTGCCATGAACATTTATGAGTTTTACGTGCATTTTAAGTTTTATGAATTTATTACAGGTGTATATGAGGACTTGTTTAAAGTCATTTGACCAATTGGGAGAATTAAGGAAGCGAAGAAACGCAGCGCTCCTTTACSACTTATGACTAAAAAAGAAGAGATTTCTCTTTTATGACAAAAAAGTTCCATTTTTTGTTTTAAAGCTCGTTTTTAGTATACTCTTTTGAGTTAATGCTACAGTTGAACATTTAGAAGTCGCTTTTTTTTGATTACCTTTATCTTTTTTTTAAATATTTTTTTATCTATATCTTTATCTTTATGTTTATGTTTATTTTTATGTTTATCTTTATCTTTATCTTTATCTTTATCTTTATCTTTATCTTTATCTTTATCTTTATCTTTATCTTTATCTTTATCTTTATCTTTA